TAAGGGTGAATGAAGAAGTCTGTATCACTATTATACTCATATGTATATCGTATATCATCTATTCACGCAAGCGAATGGATATTCAATATTGATTTTAGATAGGAAATGACCTCTCATAAAGGCTCTTTCCATCCCCTACAGGAGAAGGACGTACAAAGCAGGTACATACTATACCCAATTAAGTATAAAATAAGCTATAGCACATTGAAATTGGACATATAATGTATAGATTTTTCTTCAGAAAAATAGTACAAACTATGACTTCAAAGCAATTGCGTCTTTGTTGCTTCACTGTTAACAATGTTGAAATTATTATTTCCTTTTATGTTAGAGGCACTTTGCTGTTTCTCAAATATAGCTTTCTCAATGTCAATTTCATGCTTTACGTTTGTTTAAAACTTATTTTCATTTTCACTCTCAGGCGATGGGACTGTACCGCTCAGACTACCTTCAGGGACGATTCAAGGAAAAGGATAAGAATTATCGGCTATAAGAATCTCGACCAATCAGAATAATTATAGTTCCCGAATTTGACTGTTGTCAAGGCACTCTGTCTTGGGACACCGATCGAGGTGCCTCGAGCTGCCTCGCGCTCCCGTGATATTTGTTCATAATTTTCCTAACTGTGTTTCTTATACGGTATAGAAAGTTCTCGCGTTGCTCGCGCAATGTCCAGAAAATCTTATAGATTTTCTGCGTGTGTTTCGGAGGTGCAGTGCTGTGCTATAGTGCAGTGCCCATCCTGAGTGTCCCCTGGGTACAGTTCTCGGCCTTCACGTATTACCTGATACAGCTCCGGCGAGAACTCGCAATTTATTAATTGGTGAAGGGATTTCGATTTTATAGCTTCGACTCGTTCTGTCACGCTCTCGATCATTTGCTCTCTGTATTTCGCAATAGTTACCTGGCGCTTAGTCAGACCCAAAAATCGACAGGATCCGTCAAGCTAACGTCCTTTCTGATAGGTTCCGTCAGAGCTCTCGTTTTGGCGGAGTTGAGGCTGTTCCACCTCAGCTCCCAGGTCATACCAGCTCGTCAGTTCCCAGTGAAAAAAGAATTGGCTGCCGTCCGCCTGATACGCGAATGCATGTACGAAGAGGTGGATGGCCGAAGGTGACGTAGGTTGGCTCTCGGATTTACGTTATCGGTGTCGAGCTAAAAGAATACGTCACCATATATGTATATATATACACTTATCTACGTATCTATCTACATACCTAGTGGCTAGTTCGTGCAGTAAATTAGTTTCGCACCATTGGTCCAACTCCAGCTGAGTAGCTCTAGCAAGGTTATACAACTGCAGCTCCAGCATCCACAGCTAGTATTGCGATGTTTCGTAACTGACTGCGATTTTCGACTACCCGTTTCTTCCCTATCTAACCGAACCTCCCTATATTCTGTCTCTTGTACGTTCCAGTAACACTTCGCATTGCTACTCGTAGCACGCATCCACTACGGAGATCAGACGGGATTCGTACGATTTACGGCCGCTTTCGAAAGCCTACCACGAATCTGCGACCGTAATCTCACCTCCCCCTTCCGACCCCCCCCCCCGTCTCCTGGTTACAGAACGTGTAGCTGGTTATTATAATTGGCATCCACGTAGAGTTATCTTACGTGACTATGTCTACACCCTTCACTGCTAAGTCGGCTCCCCCCCCCCCTGTCTCCTGGTTACAGAACGTGTAGCTGGTTATTATAATTGGCATCCACGTAGAGTTATCTTACGTGACTATGTCTACACCCTTCACTGCTAAGTCGGCTGATTACATTCTGCCTCGTGGCTGCGTTGAAGATTTCAATGAATTCAAAACGTATATACTGTACGTCGAACGATATTCATATATTCATATCTCTATTTACGGGATATGTTGGTTTCAGTACTTTCGTACTCCCATACTTCTTATGCATTGTACTGTTATTTTTTTATCCGGTTAGGCGGAAAAATTATTTACACTAGGATAACTGTCAAAGAGTATCATTTAGCAAGTATTCGTATAAACTTGCTTTTTTGGCTGATGTCGATCATACGTATGGTACGTATATGTATACGTACTGTGTATAGAACACAGTCCTAAAAGATTACAGTAGTTATCGATCGTGTTATCACAACTATTGATCAAGGTACGCTAAAGCAAATTGTATCAGTGTAAAATGATAAAGGAATGTGAGAATTTTCAGAAAATACTACATACATGATGGCAATGTAATATTAATATTGTTGACTTGTTGGAGGAGAATAATTTTATTCCACCCATTATTATAAACAGTGTTAATAGAGTCAGCATAGAGCGAGGGGTATAATAAAACGATACATGTTTTATGATGATAACGCAAGGTATAAACGAAGTTATTACGTAATTCTTTTAGGTTAATGATATACATATATAGCTAATTTATTTCTGGGAAATACTATGCTTATGCGTTTATGCGAGTCAGTGAACCCATTTAATCGTCGGTTATCAAAGATATGTAAATGTCGAAGAGATTTATCAAGGGATAAAGTGATGAGTTTTCCGACGACTTTAAAAGATGAATTCTCTTACATAATTTTCGGCTGAATTTTTTTTCATTATTTTTTTTTTTCATCTTGCACGTCTCTCTTAATTGAAAACGATATCACGTGAAAGTCAGTGTCATAACAGACGTATACACGCGTCTGTATAGAAAAGATGTTTTTCAAGTACACATTTTATAAATTAATTGAAAATAAGGGGGGGAATAATGGTGCCACAGCACATTTCGACATTGTATGGTTTTTCGTATTATATTCCATTACGAAAAATGTACATTGGTAAGCCATGTTAATGTTTGACACGTATACGGTAGACTCTCGTTAAGTGTACGTTTTTGTGTGTGTAGGGGAAGACGACTCGAAGAAAACGAAACATTTAACGAACATACACTCAACGGGAGTCAACTGTATATGCCTAGTCGTATTCACTTTTTATGCATACTCGTCCTGGAAACAAATTTTCTTGTTTTGGGAACCTGCCGATAAATTAATCGACGCTACGAAAATATACTTCTCTCCGAAGAGCCTGGAAAAGCAGGCAATATTCACCCTCGGGAAAATGAAGGAAAAGGAGGCGGGCAAGAGAGACGAGATAAGGCGAAAAGATAGGAAAGAGTCGAAATATATAGGTAAAACTAATTCCGTATAAGTGAGGAAACCGGTCTTACAGCGTCGGATTGGTCGCCGTCAGAGCGAAGGATAATTAACGAATTCCGAGTAGAATCGGAAAACATCCTTTTTTCTCAAAGTTTTTTTTATACCTCACCCTGTCAGGGGTGTCAGGTACACTTCGTCCAATTCTTCCAGTGCTAATCGCACCAGTCGTTAAATATCCGATAGAGTTAACACAGGGGTACTCGAGAGTAAAAATAAAAAGGGCATAAAGCATGTGTACACATTTAATGTCCGATAACCTCGACAAGGGAATTCGCACTGGACTGCGCAATTATGCAGTTACCGATTCATAAAATGTTCAGGAGCGAAGCAGTTGTAAATCGAAAATGCATTGTTATAATTATTAGCGGTTTTCGATGGACGTTCTTGGTGTATGCGACGTTACAATATATTTCGTGGTTTACGACACATAGCAAGTAAATTCGATGACACGATTATGAACACGAGCATTAAATGGATATCCGGCTTGGCGACAATCGATTCTGATCTATATACGACATATTACGTATATATAATACACGGATCTATCCATATATACGTATATGGATGCATCCTGCCATACATCAACTCCCGTTCAATTGCAGAGTTTATTGCAAAGGCCTGGTTGTTTAACGAATTGTTCTTTATACCCAGACTTCACGGCAACGATTTATTATATCGGCGTGAACGGAGCAGAATTTATCGTTGCATAGCGTAAATTCTTCGCGCGCATGGTACTACATCGTGGATCGTGCACTTAACTTTCGCGTTGCCAGCGCTACCTGCGCCCGAGGATTTTCACTCGAGTTACGGTTATCTTGGCGGTAACGCCGCGGCATTGTAAATGCGCCTGGATGCATAAGCACAACACGGAGATTCCGAGGCGATGTTGGTGCTTTGTCGGTGACCGTGAGTGGAAAGTGACGCTAGTGCTTTAGCACCGAATAAATCGAATACCTGACGTCACGTATAGTCTGTATTATATGCAAGAATACTCTTATCGTATAAAACGAAGTACAGAGATAAGCAAAAGTCTTTGTATAGTATAGCTTCTATCAATAATATTTCAAGTACACGCAGTATCCTTTATATTTATATGTCGTATTGTATGGAAATTCATTTTTTTTTTTTTTTTCATAGAATGTATTCGGGGTGGTCAAGTGATATTAATCTCTTCATAGATCCAATAATGAGCTCGATACAAAATTTAATGGTAAATGGAGTAGATTTTACTCCAGTTTTAATTACGTGTGCACATTAGTCGACACATGGTGTGTACACAAGCTTTATCGAAGTATATACTTTGGACACTCGAAAATTGGATAATTATCTCTCGTTACAATTTATGGCCTCTCGCGTGTGTTTAACGTATAGCGTGTACTAGGCAGATACGTATTAGATATGAAGGGAGCTGAATTTTTTATAGAGTGCTAAGGAAAGTTTCGTTTGCGAATGAATGTCTGACTAGTTTTTTAGGCTTTTTGTTTTAGATTGATTATTACTTAAGTTCCTGCCGGTTACAGTGGAAGGGTTGCTTAATTACTTTTTCATGTCGTGTTGTTTCCTTAGGACGATGGGGATGAGATTGCTGCTGATTGATTGGGTACGAATCAAGCTGAACTTTGTTGTATCGTGAAATTATTCGCGAAATTGCCACTGTGACTTGTGACTAAGAAATCGAAGTGTTTCTTTTGAACCGTAGTGTGATATTACATTGAACTTATAGGAATGAATTTGACAATTCAGTATTCGTACTAGAAATATGCTCGCAGTATAACTGTAAATACAAAGTTTTTCTTTGTTGTCCCGTTTGGGATTACAAATTTGAACGCCTGATGGTGTGAAATTTTTATGTTTGTCGTGGACAATAACTTTGATTAGCTAAAAACTTTTAAAAGACAAGTTGAATGACGGGGCAAAGTATTTGTATTTTTATACCAACTTATTGTTTTATAAATCAATGCACAAATGTGTTCAAAGATAACATCAAGATTAAAAATAATATTTGGAAAGTGATGGAACAGTTAAAGAACAATTGTGATGTCAGTGATCAAGACTACAAGAAACCATAAATTAACGCCACGGACATTAGTAACAATTAACTGATAATTTTGGAGAATCGAATGGTTCATGAAACGGAATGAAATGATCTACTTCCATTCCAGAAAATACAAGACCATTGAAAGCCAATGAAATTAATTCGAAAAGTGACCCTCTCGTAATCACGAGCGTACCTTGATCCGAATTTAATTGTCTGTAGAAAGGCACGTTAGTGGGGTACAACATTGACAAATTTGAGAAACAAAGCGCGCGGGGATCGAATGGGAGGAATATAAAATGTCGAAGCTGATGATCCTGAAAATCACGGTGATCGAGATCAATCTAAGCTCACGGATGAGGATCGTCACTCGGAGTCACGTTGTCATTAACCGTAAAAAGCAGAAAGAAGCTTATGACCCTGTAGCGCTGACAAAGTATGGCCAGCCGCAGCTCGTCTAGCTAAATGCGAAGCGAAATGCGAAGCGAAATGCGACGATAAAAGGTGCCAGTTAATTTGGCTGAAGTAACCGAGAGTGCTGGCTGTAGTGTTTGGGTGGTGTCGAAAGAGGGTTGAAAAGGGACGAGTAGAAGGGATTGGAAGGGATCGCCGAATAAGGGGTGCCAACGAAGCCAGAATTAAGAGGATTGGGAATGTATCGCGGGAGCGAGCTGGGTCTCAATGACTGTGATTCTACGAGCATGAAGAATCCATCGAAGGTTCCCGTTTTCGAGGTTGCTATGGCACTTTTCGGTATGGTTTGGTTGTTGCGCGTTCGCTCGGAGATGCGTCGTTGCTCGAAGTGTCGTCGCGAGGAGTTTCTAGCCGCTCAGCAGCAACAACATCAGCAACAACAGCATCAGCAACAGCCAATCTCGCAGGCAACGAGCCTCATGCAGACACCAGATGACGCCATCACATCCTCAGCTAATACTCTATTCACCCTTGACACACCAGGAGCTGCTGGACCCGCTGGCAGTTATTGTGAGGTTCACGGATACGTTCCCTCGAAAGAAGGTATATCGATACTATTACATAATATTCTAGTTCTAATCGTAATTTGAGTGCACGCGCACTGGCTCGAAGGATATCATTATACAGGGTGGCGACTGTGTTTGTGGACACACGTAGAACCTCGTAGGTTCCTGCCTAATACTTGTACCACGCAAGTATACGAACAATTTCCTCTCTATTGATAAGAAAAATACACTTAACGAATAAGACGAACACCTGAACGGTTAATGTTTACTCGATCCTAAAACAATAGATTGTATTGAATTGATTTAATAAATTAATCTTGTGGCCGTGCGTGCTCTATTAGTCAATTGTCAATACAGTATAGAATGGCATCGTATGCTAGCAAAATTCAACGTATGAAAATATTTGCTGGGCGAAGTAAGAGCAAAGGAAATTGTATGATATTAACGTTCTTGACTCGTATGGTCTCCATTATGTGTGTTTGCTCTTTGAATGAAATTTAGATCCATGGAACTTTGTAACAGAGGCCGAACATTTCGATTTGGCGAAGCATTTTCTAAGTGAAATTTACAAATTCATGATAATGTATTAGCTTATACAGCACAGAACTAGAAGACTCGAAGCTGCAACGGCCTGGAATTGCTGGATGCAAAAAAAGTTTTATTTGCTTTTTCCGACACAGCTAGCGCGAATCAACATTTTCTATTTGGAATGCTCCATTTGACCTATAACATTTGCAGTAGAAAGAACATCAATCCTATCGCAACTTTTTACTCCTTTTACTCCAAAGATCGGAATAGTAGTGCAACTAGTGCGTATAGTGAAAAACAGTGACGCACGCGTTGCATGCGCTATTTTTGCAAGGCCGTGAGGAATGTTCATGTGTAAAGTTCGAATTTCAGTGCGTAAAGTGTACTATTTGATATACTGTGTATAATGTGAATATAATGTGTGTACACTTTACGCACTGAAAATCGAACTTTGTAGATAAACTTTACTCACGGCCGTGTAAAAATTGTATTAAAACACGAAACCGAGCGAAAACTTGTGTACACTAAATCCCATATATGAATATGCCGTTCTACATTCCGTGGCGATATGAATTTTTTAAAAGCGATCTAGCTTCTATATTTCAAAAACATATCTCATTCCGCGAAAGCGATCCAATACCATTTTCGTTTGAAGATGACTTACACGAGTTCCATATGTACCTCTGTCAGCATCCCTCATTCTCAGAACATTATCCGTATCGGTTCTTATATTTACCTTCTTTCATCTCGAATAAAAATAATCCTGAAGTCACAACTTTTTAGGGATCATGGGATAAACACATACTATTCTTCATGTAGTGACGTATTATCCGATAAATATTTTGCATATGATATTACATTTATATATTAAATGTAAATGGCTCATCTGATATATCACGTTCTCCAGATGCATTAAATTCAATTTAATTCGCAATACTTATCACGATGTTACACTTATCAAATGTCAGAATTAGCATAGAACTCCAACCTCTTCAGGATGCTGTGGAATATATACATATAATGTACGCAAATAAAAGGCCACCATGCAGATAGTTTAAAAGGATGTCACGCGCCTGTGAGTGCTAACAAGTTGCAGCGCTTATCATAAACATCCCCTGTGGGCCGAGCATATGGTCTGTTGGTGCGATGTGTGTCGTGCGGTGTACAGGTTAGTTGCGGGCTTTGTGCATGCGGCTTCATTGTCCCGGAGACAGAGCATAGCATAGCATCTGGTTCACGTGTGTGTTCCTACCTCTTACGAGTAGTTGAATAGGCCTGCGTCATGTCACTGGAACACACGTGCACTGTTGAAGGGAGGCTCTCCTTGAGTGACCAAAGAGCCAGTTACCTTCTACTAGAATCGGGACGTACCTAAGCGTGAAAACAGATTCCATATACCAGTACCGATTTAAATCTTTTTATTATCCATATAGGCTTTCTAGGTCCTAATCAGAATAAAGCATAGCACGAAGTATTAATACGTGTTTTCAAGTATTTTGAATAGTATAAAAATACGTAGTTCAATATTGCTTGTTGAGTAAATTTCCTTTTTTTTTCATGCGCTTGATTAAATTTTCAATACATCTTTAGACGTTACGTCGTAATCCAACAATGCTGTATACGGAAGAAAGGAAAACCCGGTATGACCATTTTCACAAAAATTTCAAAATTACGTTTACCAAATTTCTTTGAAAGAAGTTTCTGATACAACCGCTCTCTGATAAATTCTGATACTTGTAATATATGAGGCCTGTAAAAATACATGAAGAAAAAGATGTTTACTGGAAATAATACATGAAATTATTTCAAGAGTATGTCGAGAATTTCTACGTTCTCTTGAAACGGTATTTATTTATCAAGGAGTTTTCACTGTACGTAGATACAATTGTCCGAGAAACGAAGTTCATAGCTACACACGTAATGTTGCCAAGACAATAGAGGCTTGTCCAACGTGCGTCATGTAGCTGAAATATGTTACGACATTTTGTCCTTTGTTTCTGCCACGTGGCGCATCAGGTCCTTCATTTCTCTCGTATGAGTATGTTTCATTTGCGACTATGTCGAGCGTATAGGCTGGTCTGTTTGTCTGTTGTGTCTACTCGACGAAGCTATTTCCTTTGTCCTTCAGGTAAACTCTGTGACAAGCGATCGGTCCAGCCATGAAGATCTGTCACTCGTATTTTCAGTCTGACGTTGACGCGTGGGAAATTAATGGTACCAGACACGGCGTCGCTGAATGAATGCTTGGATAAATCAGATCTTCCATCCTACCCTTGTATATGTATAAAAAATTTTTAAGCAACGTTCAATACAGTTCTTCAATATTCTATTTAGCAACGGATCATCTTGATCATACCATGCTGGATCAAGGACGAAATTTTAAATGTCAGATGCTCCAAATGATATTAAACAATTTTTAAGGGATTTTCCATCATATCGTATTCTTTCCATTTACTCGAGCACACGCTCGACCCAGGTACGAAATAGTTTCTATACAGCAGAGAGTCACATCGCGGCGATATTATATGGTTTTAAAGCTAAAAGCATGTTCGTATCGAAGCAGCTAGTAATATCCGATATCATCTTAAACTTTATTATCGAATGTGGAAACACGTTCGGAAAATATATATCATCTTCATAGTACTTTGTTAGGGATTAATGTTATATACCTAGGGTATGTTATGCAACTCCAATATAAATACTGATTATCCATATTTGTCATATATATGTTCACGTAGCATATAGTTGAAAGCTGGAAAGGATGAGTTTTTTATTTAAAAAAAAAAAAAAAAAAAAATTAACTGAGTCGTGGTTTACTGCGTCTCTGTAATTTGTTTCCTGGTGGTTGGTATGTTTCCTGCTACAATAATGAACTAGGGTTTCTTGAACAATGTACAAACTCTTATTATCTTGAGCCGTAATCTTCGTCCGCCATTTACAAACTTGCGGTAACACGGTTCTTGTTTTACAGCGTCTCGTTGGTTAATAGCGCACGTAATACAGGCATGTGTTGGAATCGTCAGAGTAATACAGGTGCAATTTTTTTATAAAAAAAAAGTTTATTACAAAAAAATTACGTTTAAAAAATTTTATGAGAAAAAGCCTTTTTGTAATTTTCTGAACCTTAATGCCTATGACACGAATATTTTTTTTTTTAATTTGAAAATAATAGTTTCACGTTGTTCAGCGTGTTAATAGCCCCTAGGTTTTTAATCAACGCACGCGAAGTCGTAAAACCATGTTACTGCATTTTACGTTGGCTTTTTGCGTATTCTCCTCGTGCATATCCTGCTGAAAGGTTGACTTTGAGGGTAGTATAAATTAAAGTAGAAAAATGCATACAAGAGTGTACTGTTGTACAGAGCTCGCCAGTGGCTAATTACCTATGTAATGTCCACCCGCTCACATATCAAAATAATTTTCACAAAAACGTGGGTAACCTACATTTAACAGATTTATTTATATGTTTTCCGACCACATGATAGCGACAATACAGAAAGTGTCATACAATGGCAAACGTCATTCATAACCAGCTCTCAGTTACAATTCAATCTAGACAGAAATTAACGCTATTATCTTCCTATTTCTATCAGGTGCTCCAAAACGTAGTGAACGTTAATTTCTGTCTTAAGATTCACGCAGCATTGACGAAAAGCTTTCCTTTGTCGTTCTTATAGCTGACTACCAGTCTGTCTGTCAGGCTTTACAGTTCTAGGTATAAGAGGAACAAAGGAAATTTATCCACTGTACCTGCCCCTTTATCAACACGTATAGCTTCAATACTTCCCTATAAACTTCCTTGATCCTTACTATTTTCATCTTAGGGAATTGACTCTGCAAGCTACACGCAAGAACGTCATAATACGATTATGTGGTTTATCTAGCTGTATGTAGCTAACCTTAATATACCACCTCTTTCTTGTATTATATACATCTTCCATATACCATATACGTTTCGTGTCCATTGTACCTGCAACACACCAAAGACCACTAAAAGGACAGCAGGAAGCTCTTCTAAAGCATTTACGGTACCTTCGATCGCGAACCTTTTATGAGAGAAAGAAGCGATAGAAAGCTTCCTCTACACTCGCCACTCGTTAGCTCCATTTATTTTTATTTTCAAGAAAATCCACACGGATCCAATGGTGGACTTCGTCTGAATTACAGAAGTGCATTATTGCGTCTGAAGTGAATTTCACGTATTCTTCGTTCCTCTATATCAGAGGCGATGCAAGATCCAATCCTTATACCGTAACATTAGCGAGATTATTGCGCACCATTGTTCTCATCGTACGATCCAGCTCAAGCCAGCTTTTACAGTTAATTGCGATTTGCTAAGCACGGTTCTACTATACCTACTGACGTCATGCTGCATGAGTTCGTTATCTTGAAATCCACATTTAGACACACAAATCCATATTGCATACCGCGAATGAGTTGTGGTGCAATATGACCGAGTTCGAACTACTATGGTCCTTTTTATGCGAAAATTTTTGAATCCCCATTGGC